TTATTTTGTCGCAAGGTAGTGTGATTATGCATGTCACAAAGTATTTGCTAGTCTAGTACTGGAGAAATTAGGCCATCTTTAAAAAATTATATGTTTGCTGTCCTCCGACCGACCGACGAAAATAGCCGCGACCCCAAAGTTTTTTTTTACATTTTGGGTTTCATTTTTTTTTTTTTACATTTTTTATAGTTAAGACTGAAAGCAACCTGAAGTTCTATGGCAAACATGAGGACAGACTTAAAATAACTATTATGCTTCACAAAAAAAGAAGACCTACCTACCCACTAAAAAAATCATGGGTCGGGGGACAGCAAACATGTATAGAATTTTTCAAGGATGGCCTTAGCATGTAGATGCGCATATTGTGGCTTTAAGGTATAGGAGGAAATACGGAATTGCAGCACAAATCTCAACGGCTCGACCTACGCTCTTAATATTCGATGTATAATGTGATGGGGAGGAACCCCATCACCAGCGTGAAATTGGAGGTCACAGGTTAAAGGGCAGTGGGGGAAAGGTCAGATATCAGAGACATTTTCTGAGGACATTAACGGACCTAACGGACCGAGTGCAAAACTTTTTTGTTTCTGCGCTGACCTACCATTTTTAGCACTTTTAAGTTATTGAAAGGACCGTGAAATCTACTTTCCGCTGACGTGCGAAGAGTAAGTGTCTGATAACCTTTTGACGTCTCAGACGGCAGGTTAAACATGGATTTGTTGACCGCTAACAAACGGACTCGAAACTGCTTTTGCCTATTCAGAGGCCCCCATGCACCACACTTCCCCCACCGCACATCCACGCGCCTCGCGCTCGAGCGCATATCCACATGATAAGCGTTAATTACTAGCGATAGTCAATTAAAGTGTAGCACAGCTATATCCTTTTATTATGTACTCACCGGTATACAGCAGAAGCGCTAGGCAACCGCGTGGCGGAAGAAGGCGGGCACGTTGCTTCGGATTGCAGTGAGTTTATCAGAGGAATACCGGCTACAGTACACTTCAGTGAGCGGGCTGCTCCGGCTCTGCGGCACTTGTTTACAGTAAAAATAAGCACGCCAGTATTCTAAGTTGAATATAAACACGCCAAGTCTTGCTAGGACTGGTGACACTTCTGTGAATAAGCAAATAAAAACTCACGTAGCTGTTACCATCTTTGTTAGGTAGTTGGGCTAATATTGCTAATAACCAATGCAATCTCCGTATTAAATTTTGCAGATACACTTCCCATAATTATGAATCTAGCTGAGCTGAGCAGACATCATCGAGTGTGGGTTCGCACCTAGCCGTAAGAATTCTCTGTGTATTCTGCTGGCCGTGTACCTTACTGCATAATATATGCAGACTGGAAGAGGCAGCATTTTTTGGTTACCGTTGGGCCTCGGGTTGCCTGGTACTGATTTCATTAGTCATTAATATTCTATTCTTGCCACCTGGAATTCCATCAGTAGTCCATCGTTTATCTGATCACTTTATTTTTATTTTTTTATCAACAGTAGAAGTCATAGATAATATCGTTGGATGTAAACAATCCTCACCATAATGAAAAATCTTTTCTTTTTTAAATTATCCACTGGATTGTATATTATATATTAAATTTGACTTTAAACATCTTTGTAAATGTAATCACCATGTATTTTGAAGAAATTATTTTGTAGAGTTTTTGTAGAAATTTTGCATC